AGAATTCCGGATCCTAAGAGGATTAAGTTGGCTAGTCGAGCATATGAATGTGTCTTTGTTGGCTATGCGGCCAATAGTAAGGCATATAGATTCTATGATTTGAATGCTCGTACTATAATAGAATCCATTGATGCTGATTTCTTTGAGACACGATTACCATTTAAAACGAGAAATAGTGGGGGTAATGTACTACCCGCTATTAGAGATAACGAAACTAGTGGGGGTGTTGGATCTGAGGATGAACTCAGAAGAAGTAAAAGAGCTAAAATCTCTAAAGATTTTGGTGATGATTTTACTACATAATACACCCTCGAGGATCCAAAAAGTTTGCAGGAATCATTAACTTCCATAGATGCAGACTTTTGGAATGAGGCCTTTATAGATGAAATGGAATCGTTAAAGGCTAATAAGACTTGGCATCTAACAGACTTACCTCCTGGCTGCAAAGTCTTATGTAATAAATGGGTTCTAAAAACGAAACGGAAACCTGATGGTGCAATCGAAAGGTTCCGAGCTCGCCTAGTAGTTAAGGGCTACAGGCAGAGAGAGAATATAGATTTCTTCGATACCTATTCACCAGTATCTAGAATAACATCCATTCATGTCATGATTGCTCTTGCTGCCTTGAACAATCTTGTGGTACACCAAATGGATGCTAAGACTGCTTTTTTGAACGGTGATCTAGATGAAGAAATCTATATGGAACAACCATAAGGGTTTGTTATCCCCGAACATGCCTCGAAAGTCTGTAAGTTAGACAAATCATTATATGGTTTGAAACAGGCTCCAAAACAGTGGCATGAGAAGTTTGACACTCTCGTTCTCTCACATGGATTTAAGTTGAATTAAAGTGACAAGTGTATTTACTGCAAGTCAGAGAATAACACTTGTACTATCATATGTTTGTATGTAAATGACATGTTAATATTTGGTACAAATATTCACGTGGTCAATGAAGCGAAAGCCATGTTAAAAGAGAGCTTCGAGGTGAAAGATCTGGGAGAAGCGAAGTTTATGCTTGGAATCCAGATAACTAGAACAGCAAATGGTTATTCTCTAGATCAATCTAGCTACATAGAGAAGATCTTGAAGAAATATAACTATTTCGACTGTAGAGAGGGTCATGAGATACCTCAAGAGAACAGCAAACCTTGGTATACACTATCAAAGGTTTCCCGCTGTACTAGAAGGGTATAGTGATGCAGATTGGAATACCCTATCAGATGACTCCAAGGCAACCAGCGGGTATGTTTTTAACATCGCTGGTGAAGCTGTGTCTTGGAAGTCAAAGAAACAAACAATCCTAGCTCAATCAACTATGGAATCAGAGATGATAGCACTAGCAACGGCTAGTGAAGAAGCAAGTTGGTTGAGAGGATTGTTGTCAGAGATTCCCCAATGGGAAAGGTCGGTCCCTCCAGTATTGATACATTGTGATAGTACCGCAGATATCACTAAAGTTGAGAACCGGTTCTATAATGGAAAGAAACGACAGATTCGTCGTAAGCACAGTACACTACAAGAAACTGCTCTTTTTGCGACGAATTCTATTGCGACAGCAAGAAATTCGTCGCAGAAAGTTTAGTTTTTGCGACGAATTTTACTTTTTCGTCGCGGATTGACTCATTATTCAGTGGTAGGTGGGGCATAGGGTTCTGCGACGAACATTTCTTTTCCACAACGAATAAACTCGTCGCAGATTGTTTATCGACCTTTTGCGACGGATAACGTTCGTCGCCGAATATAGAAAAATTTGTTGCGGCGACATTGTGTCATCGCAGAAGTTTCAGAATTATTTGCGACGAATTTCTGTCGTCGCAGAATACAAAGAAATTTTTTGCGACGGCAGTTGGTCGTCGCAGAATGTTTGTAAACTTATGCGACGACAATTTGTCGTCGCAAAAATCATAGACTTTTTGCAACTGTTAATTGTCGTCGCTGAATGTTACACTGTTTTTGCGACGAATTTCTCTCGTCGCGGAATTATTGGGAGTTCTTTCTACGCTTGGCTGTCATCACAGTTTTTATCAACGAAACAAATTTAATCTAACATAACGATTTTTTCATTTTTATAATTTCGTATTAAAAATATGTACCAATAAATTCATGTAGATAAATGTATTTAACAAGTTATAACATTAGCCTAATTGGTTAGTGTGTTAGATATTCATTCGCTTGAGACCATATGGTCAATGGTTCGAAACTCAGCCGAGGCTCAAGTGTCTATTTTTTTAACAGACGAAGAGGGTCATTTACGGTGGCAATTTGCTGTAAATATCCTGAACTTTATTTGACAAAACTGCTTGTATATAAACTAAGTTTGCAAAGAAACCCTAGCCGCATTCACTTCCCCAATCCTCTTCTCCTCTGATTTTTTTCTCTGCTCTTCAAAATCCTATCTAGTTTAGCGCAGCTCTTCGCCAATATTCCTCTCCTGTCGATCTGCTCTCTTCTCACACCGACTCCCTATATCTCCTCTCAATTTACTCTCTCTCCCTCGATAGTACTCCCTCTCTTTTTTGGGTTTTCGATTTGCCTTTTCTCTCGGTCGGAGCTTTAGAACCACAGAGACAGGGGCGACTTCACGGCGGCGACAGTTGATACTCGTGACGGCGAGGGACGAAACTCACTGCGGCTTCTTATGGGCGAATCTCACGGCGGCGAAGGCGGACAAAGCTCACGGGGCTTCTGACCTGGTTGTTTGGTAAGTTTTGGTTTTCAGTGGGAGAAGGCTGTCGCTCGTAGCTTTGTATTTCATCGGCGGTAACGACGGCTATGCAAGAGGAAACTCTTTCGGTGAGATTATGTTGCATAGATTTTTCATTGTTTCTTACTGAGTGTTTCAGATCTAGATCTGACTTGGTTGTTTTTGCAGGTTTGGTAAAGAGGCTTTGTTTATATCCTCTAAATGCTTTACATCTGGAGTTTTAGACGGCCAATTTGGATATTGGCTGTGAAAGTGGAATTGATAATATGGTAATCTTGGGTGAATCTGGGATTTACTGTTTGACGAGAAGGACGATTTGATATGGACCAGAAAATAAATGGTAAATAAGTCCAAAAAAAGCAGAATAAAGTATGAACTAAAATGCAGGAAAACTCAAAAAGTAAATAAGAATAAATCATTTTTAAAAATATCAGAATAAATTGTGAACTAAAATGAGCCGGAAAATTGTGAATAACTCGAAAAATGCCTCTGTTGCTAAAATCAGGTAACCTTCGCCGACAGAATCTTACGTTGCAAAATTTTTATTTTCTGCGACGATAGAGCTTTTTTCGTCGCCAAATGTCCATTTTGCGACGACATCTTCGTCGTAAAATCACCGACCTTCCGCGACGAATTCCTTTATTTCTGCGACGAACCAGTTTTTTTCGTCGCAGAACTTTTTGCGACGCAGTATAGGCGACGAATGTTTATTCTTTTTTGCGACGCTGTAATCCGTCGTGGAAACATTCTGCGACGAAATTTAGGGCTTTCTGCGACGAAAACTTCCGTCGCAGAAAGTGAAGTTTCTTGTAGTGGTACTGTAAGAGAACTCCTAACGATAGGAGCAGTGAGGGTGGATCATATAAGATCCGAACAGAATCTAGCTGATCCTTTGACGAAAGGATTACCTAGAGAGAAAGTCCAGAATACCGCCAAGGGTATGGGACTTATGCCTATCGAACCACGGACTACAAGTGATGGTAACCCGACCCAATAGACTGGAGATCCCAAGAAAATGGGTTCAATGGGTAATAACAAGTCATGAGTAGTATGCGAAAAGTTCATGCATAGTGAAGGATGAATCCCAAAGCAATGGAGGTTGAGTTAATAACTCTTAATGAGATCTATACCCTATGTGGGTTGGAGTACTTTACTTTGGGGTACTCCTGATAGACTCACCTGTGTGAATGTGGGAGTGGGGCCGCTCCCTATGGAACTTTGGAGGCACAAAGTTGCTAGAGCTTTCACTAAACCAGGATAACGTGCATGGCCATAAACGCATGGGCTAAGAAGAGAACACAACTCAATGAAAAGATCCGGTGTGCTACATTGTCTGAGATAGGGTTCAAGACTACGAGTCACCCTTATGAAATCGGAAGTGCAACCACTACGCTAAGGTTCAAATCTTCGCGATACCTTAGCTTATGCCCGATCTTATGGAACTGTTGATACTCAGAGATAGTTTCAAAACTATTCAAGTGGGGGGTTGTTGGAAATGTATATGAATAGCTTTGAAAGCTATAGAGTCTCAAGTGGAAAAACTACCACATTGGTAGTTTTACTTGGTGAAATGTGTATAAAGATAGGAGCCTCTCTCCTAAGGCCATGCCCCTTGGGGTGACCCACTTTTGTGGGAGAGGGAGGACCTAACGGACCACCACACACGCGCGCCGTCCGTCCGTTCGACCGATCGACCAGTTGGTCGGTTGGTTGGTTGGTTGGTTCACTTGAGACTATATACATATTTTCTGGAGAAATTTCGAACGAAATTAATTATCTAATAATTAATTATTAATCTGTTATTCTGAGAAATATTCTAAGGATAATCGATTAAAAAGGAATATTCGAAGGATAATCCCGCAGGATTTATCTTAACCGACGGTTTTAATTAAGGAAGTAATTATCTTCCTTAATTAATCAGACTTATTCCCCAAGCAAGAGGGTATATTCCTAGGGGTTCGGCTCCTATAAATAGCCGCCTCCCCAGCCCCTCTAAACACACCACAACGAACATAAACACAATAGAGAGTTTGTTCAGAGAACTCCGGGTCTCGCACAAAACCGCGAGTACACAGAGGAGCTGTTTTATCATGGAGACAACCGGTTGATTGTCTGCCGTGCGCAACGAGGGCAGTGTCGCGAACGTCTTAAAGAGAGCGACCTAGTCCGCGACTCAGCTCCAGATTCGGTAACATCGTTCTTGTTGTTGTACCGTTCCTAACACGCCCCATATATACCGGATGTTGAATTCGAAAGAGAGTTTCCTGAACAGCATTAATTATATGAACAATATTGGAAGAAGCGTACATTTGTTCTTTTTGGGATAACTGGAAGCACACATTTTACACAGGGATACAGCAATTAACATACAGACAATGAATTGATCATGTTGTTCATGGCGAGGATTCACCAATGACTACATTACATTACCAAAAAAAAAATGTAAACTGGATAATGAAAAAGAAGAAAAGAAACGGAACGAAGAGAAACATATATATATATAGCCGGGTTGCAGAATATTGCTCGGTAGGCAAGATGATATGATTAATCCATGGGAGGCCAGGCAGTAGAAGCGGAATCTAAGAAATTGATAGATAAGTCGTGGTCATGAATCCAGGTGTCGGAATAAATATTGGAATGATGAGTAGCCATCGTTCCTTGGTGTTGTAAATCATGCTGTTCTAAATGATGAGTGCCGGTGCCAGGTAGTTGGTGATGAGTAATATTATTGGTGGATAACTTGATACCTGTAGTAGTAGCAAATATTTCCACTGGCCATGATGATGATGAGGAGGAGAAGGGAGAATGGCAGGTATAGTGCATCTTGTCATCCGCGAAGTTGGAGATGGGTGATTGGAGACAGGAGGATCCAAGCCCTAAAGCCCGGGCGGAGAGCACGTCCAAACATCTTGGAGGGGCAAGGTGGGAAGGCAGCGGAGGCGCTGAGGTGGAGCTGGATGAGTGAGATGGCAGTTGTACTTGTAGCTGTAGCTGGCGGAGGGAATCAGACTCTCTCACCAGCCTGGCTTCGGCTTCGAGGCGGGCGGTCTCCCACTGAGCCATGTGGCTGAGGGTGGAGGCGTTCTTGGGGTCGCCACCGTCCAGGCGGCGCACCTTGGGCTTGTGGGTGGCCGGATCGATCCCCATCAGGGACAGCCGCTTCTTCAGGTGGGTGTTCCAGTGATTCTTTATCTCGTTGTCCGTTCTTCTCGGCAAGTGCGCTGCGATGGCCGACCACCTGCTAGATCAGATCAGATCAGATCAGATCAGTTTCAATTCAATTCAATTCCATTCACCCGGCGGTGGGGACCGCGTGAACTGAACTTACTTACGGTCCCCGGCCGGGCCGGAATCTTACATTACTTGATTGGGGAATGTTCGATATATATATATATGTTGCATTGCAGCAGCACAAGACTGCAGAGCTAGGAAAGAGAGACGACCTATAGCCAGCCAGCTATTCGATCGATTCTTGTGCATTCCCAAAACATAACTAACTGAAAGTAGAGACAAGCCCGATTCTTGTGCCTGTTCAATTAAACTAACCCTAGCTAGCTAGCTAATTTACCACTTTTTAATAGTTTCAATCAATTAATAAGTGAGCTAGCTAGATTAGGGTTGAAGATACCTGCAGAAGTGGCAAAGACATATATATGTATATATATATATAGAAAGTTAGAAACTGAAGAAGTGGCAAAGTAGTAATATAATCAGCGTGTGCGTGCGTGCGTGCGTGCGTGCGTAATTGGGATTGAACTTTGAACCTGTTTCCGAGAAGGGCATGGAGCTGGATGATGGTTTGTTCTTCGTGGAGGGTGAACTTGCCTCTCTTGATGCCCGGTCTCAGGTAGTTGATCCATCTCAGCCGGCAACTTTTCCCACATCTCTGAAGACCTGCCACAATCACAATCATTTATCATCGATCACCAGAAACCAGACATGGACTGTCCGTCTAGAGCGGGCCTGACCAGCTTTTTCGGGAAGAGTGCGCCAGCTGCCGTGGCCGTGAAGCTGGATGTAGGATAAGAGCTTCTGGTCCTCTTCTGAGCTCCAGGGGCCTCTCCTCAACCCACTGCCATCGCACCAAGCTGATGACGACGTCGGCGACTGCGACTTCCCTGCAGCCATTCTTTCTCTCTTTCTTTCTTTCTTTCTTTCAGACGGAAAAAAAAAAGAAAGAGGCTAGCTAGCTAGTGGAAGTAGTGATATTAATAATAACTAATAATAGTTATGTTGTTGGGATAGGAAAGCAAGGCAAGCAGTTTAATGTACTGGGCTGGGCGACTGACGGGCGGTGCAGCAAAAGGCTAGCTGGATATGAGCGAGTGAATGATTTTGGGGGTAGGGGGGAAATTAAAGTGTAGCTAGAGCTAGGCTAGTGATGCCTTGATGACCGCCATTTATGGAGCTGCTACCGGTTCCCTAATCAATTGCTTAATTAATTAGAGGTCGTTCTGCGTATATTTATTTCCCTTTCTTTCTTCTTTTCCTTTCCATTAAGTGCAATTTAAGATACATGTAGTTGGGGTCTTCTGCATGGGACCTAAACTAATTCTCCAGAACAAGGAAAGGGAAAAAAAATCATAAGTTTTACTGTTCGCAGATACCATGCGGCCATGCATCTATAAATTGGAATCCAGAAGTAAAAAGTACAAGAAAACGATCGATTGCCATATATTTCGTTCAAGCAGGACCATTATATTGTTCTTTACGGCTTTTCTTTTACCAACAACTTCCATCTGCTCACTCCTGTTCGTAGATAATTAAACTCTTAGGATCAAGGCATGATGCCCAATCTAAATCATAATATTCCGTAATTGTGAAAGATTAACATTAATCCTTGATCAATAGGATCCTTCTTCTTGTACCGGTCTGGACCAGGGACTGAACAAGCTCGCACTAAGGGGTGGTCATGGCCCCCTCAAATGTTGAACTTCACCAAATTTTTGTTTTTGTTTTTTTACCTCTGATTATTTGATGAGACACTAGTTTGGTAGTTGGAATATTTGTTAATGATTTAGATGTGTGCAAAAGGTGATGAATTCAACTTCCATCAATGTTATTTTTTCTCATTCTAATGATTTTATTATAACTTTGTAGCATTTACCTTATCACAGTTATATTAGTTTCTTTTCTAAGTACAATTCATCATTCGGTCTTTCAATTAATTATTTTCCTTTCAAGCATTTTCAAATTAATTTATTAATTATTGTTTACATGTTAGTTAAGGGGATTTGCAAAGAAAGACAAATTTATCGACAATTTTTTTTTCATTTTTTTTTTCAAAGTGTAGCGGATGATTTTCCAATTTCCAAGTTAAAAACGAGCGAATACTACTAAATAAGCACACTTTCGCATTATTTGTTTTCACTTTTCAGTAAGCTAATATATCTTGCTTGAGCTATGTTATATTTTAATTAGTTAACGAGTTAATTGTTAGGATGAGATATTTGGCTTAGAGTGCCTCAAAAATCAAAATGAGACATTTTTACAAATATCTAATTTCATAATACCCACTCCAACTTGATTGGTTTGTGATTAAAATAGGCTCCAGATATGGTGCATAACCTATGGTTATGCACCTATCAGTAATTAAATATGAATCCTTTATGCAGAAAAGTTAGATCTAAGGGTGGAGGATTAAAGGCATTTTTATTTTTTCTTGTTTTCTTAATCGGCTCATATTTTCTTCATTTTAACTCAGATTTCAATTTTTTTTTTTTTTGCACAAATGAAATGAGTTCGTTGTGCTCTACAAAATGATATCCATTTTCAATATTTTCGAAGGAATTTTTTTCTTACCTCTCGTTACCAACTGCATATCATATGGTATTTTCTTCATTTTTAAGTCGTTTTTTAAAAATTTTGCACAGGAGGAACGAAATCATCATGATGTATGTGATCTACAAATTGCTGGGTGAACAAAATATAGGATCAAAAAATACCCCACAATACTACATATTACCACCCTGGTATGGGGTGGTATCTTGTGGTACACAATGTTGAAAGTCGTAAATGACAGTTAATATGCTCTACTATCATGTATTCAACCATCCTACAGTCTTGGTATGTTCATACCACCATGGTACGCAGTGGCGGATCCAGGGCTGGGCCAACCCAGGCCCCGGCCCAGCCCTCCTTTGGATCCAGAGTTAGTTTAGTGCTTATAAATTTTTTCGATTTAGGTATTTGGTCCAATACTATTTAAAATCCTGTCTAGTTTTATTTGATAATAGGATTTTGTGTAACTAGGAAAATGGTTCAGATGAACATATCCAAACCATTACTCTAAATTTATACTAAATTTCTATAGCCACAATGACTTTATTTGAAAAAAGACATGAAAACCTAAAAGTGTAAGTTTCATTAAAATAAAATAAAAAACTCTAAACTAAAGCACATCCTTCCTTGCAAAATTCAAAAAAATTCTCATTCCCCCAAAAACAAAACAAGAACGAGGAGACGAGCAGACCCAAAATGGATTTCTCCGCCAACCCGTTGAGCTGGTTTTCTTTCCATTCTTTTGATTAAGAAAATATTTACAAACTTGCTGAGTCATCATTTAGATTGCCTCAATTGAGTGGGGCACTAGATTCTAACCGTTCTTTCTGGTGTTTTGATGAAGAAAATATTTACAAACTTGCTCAAGAGTTTAGCCTCGAGACTTTTAAGGCTATGAGATGCATTCTTTGGAGAATGCACTAATCATGTGAGGAAGATGAAGTTTCTTCTCTTGAAAAATTATTAGAGAAGCTGGAGGAAAGAGGGATGGACAGATAATACAAATTGATTTGCCAGTTGATTTGTCTAGTGTTGACCTAGCCGTTTCAACAACTACTATGGAAAGAATATTTTCAGCAATGGAACATGAACATTGATTTGTGCAACAAAATGAGCGATGAATTTCATGTTGATTACTTAGCCATTTTATTTGAAAAAGAGTATATTATCAGTATGGATGGAGATTATATTATTGATGAATTTGCTAAATTAAAAGACCTTCTTGTACAATTGACATTGTAATGAAAACTATATTCTTATATATTTTTGTTTATGGTATCTAATATTCTATTCAAATGCGGCCCAGTGCTCTCTTATATCCTATATGATATGCCCTTATTTCAATCCCAGTCAATATCATATGGTTCAATTTTTTTTGTTCCGAAAATATATCAAAGTGGATATTATTTTGAAGAGAACAATTAATCTCATCTGACTGTGCAAAAAAAAATTAAAGTTCGACTTAAAACAAGTGAGAAATCGTCCATTAAATATTAAGAGGAGAAATTAAAGGTTTTTCAGAGAGAGAAAGGGTGTTGATGTGGCGGCTTCTAATAGGGATATGCATAGTTATTGACCACAAGGTTACGGACGTGATCGACTCCCATTAAAATACCGGGAATTTTTTTTATAATGGTGTAACTAAAATACACCTAAATCATGCTACATTGCTCTTATGGTCTTCTATCCAACTAGCTAGTAAATTTTAAATTTATAATTACGAAAGTAGTGAAAATTATGCTACTTTTGAGTATGCTAATTTATATAACTTGGTATTTATGTCAAACCGAATAAGACAATGAAATTGAACGTTAATCCGAAAAAAGTTTTTGCCCCTCCAAATTGGAAATCATGGCTTGGTCCCTGACCTGGATCACGACTTTGTAGGCTCCTTGCATGCGAGTATTGAATGGATTGTACAGAAACTAACTGTGAAACTAATATATAAAATATTGCGATTTGTGAGACAAAGGAGCCTACTAACCAATTTCTTGTAGAAATGAGGATCCTCTAATAGCACACCATCCTTGTACTGAGTCTTGCCTTCGTCTGAACCGTACCGGAGATTCAGTCACAAAATACCAGTATTGGAGGCTAAACGGATAGACGGTATTTGATGATATTAACGGTTAAACTACAATCAAATTACGGTTTTACTATAAAATACCGTATCGCTAACTTTTCCGATAGGGTTTCATTGACTATGGTCTAGGGGAGTCTAGTCGTCTTTGCATATCTAGAAAACCAGTAGTGTCATTATGGAGTCCAACGCAGGACCTCCTTCAGATGCATTCTCAAATAGTAGTCCCAATACCTCCAATTGTTGAGGGAACTTTATCATAGATCTTGTACTACACACTAATACTGTCACTCAAACGAAAGCCACTCATAAAGGCTTGAAATTTGCACAAGTTCGAATACCATGTGTTTAACAAATAGCAGTGGGATTCGAACACAAGACCTCTCAATAACAAAAGGCTCCGATACCATATCAAATTTTAATTGCTTCCAATAACTCGAGTTATAAAATTTATTATATATCTCACACTTTCTTCTCGAATTTCTTAATACAGTAGTTCGATCAGTTCACAAATAATGATGACCTAAACTTTTCTATAAGTGTGGACAATACAGACATAGGTTGCTATCTTTACCGACAACATGTATCTATTAACATATTCACTAATATCATGCATTTTGTGCAGTGGCGAACCCACCCATTAGTGGGGTGTCTAGCCTCACACACCTCCGTCCGGAATTTTTGTGATAGTATTTCTTCGGTACAAAGCTCCAATAATTATAGCCATGCACCTTCATTAAACTAGCAAAAAAAAAAAAAATCTGATATTAAATTTATTAAAATAAGTAATATATATTATTCATTTTAATTTTGAATTAATTATAAAATGTTAAATTCATTTTTATTTGATTTAAACAAAACCACAAGTCACCCCATCCAACCTTAATAAAATACAACGTTCCCTTTACCTCTTTTAACCACCCTTAAAAATGCTTATCACTAATACTGGAAAACCCGCATCATAGCCTTGCCTCTTTTAAATCACATTTATTCATCTCTTTTTATCTATCTCTAGGGAAAAATTATCCAACCATTCCCCTTCAACCTTCCAAGCTTTTCCATTTGATATTAGTGTTGACTTTACCTATTGCAACACTAAACTGTCTGAAATGTCATTTTTCAACTATTAAGTTTGTTTGGCCTGCTCCTAGAAAAGTCCACTAGTTAAAGCACGATGAGCCGCTGAAGTGAGGAAGGCTAGCACCAAGACCAGCAGGGCACCTGATGGGCTAGACGCAAGCGCAAGGGTATGAGAAAACCCTCCGTCAGGGAGCATGGCGA